TGGTTGTTCTTTAACATTTGGGACAGCAACGGAATCAGAGACCACTGGGGCACATCCTTGGTGACTGGAGAAAAGACCTAAAAATCGTCTCAGGGTGTCAGGGGAAAGGCACTTGCTGGCAAGACAGCAGACAGCGAGTCACGGGAATGGGGTTTGGTTGATGGGAAGTAATACTGAGTGGGGCAGCTGCTGATGGCACCGAGGACCCCCCAAGGCTCTCCTGTGGACAGGAGCTACTGCAGCCATGGAGAGGGTGGGAATAGTTCAGTCACCTATAAAAATATATATTAATATTCATTAGAGAAATAATATAGATAATATGTAAAATTAAAAACCCTCTGAAGAAAAAAGCTAAACCCTACTATATTACTACCACCCTTTGAAAACCACTACAATATCTTGGTATTTCCTTTTATTTATTATGTTTATATGTTATTATATTGAGATCAAATTTTAAATACAGTTTTGCCTTTCCTTTTACTCTTTTAATATCTTACAAGAATTGCTTGTTTTCTAAAGTTGTTTTTAATGTGAATTTTTTAAAATTATTTTTCTAGTTTATTACAGTATGTATAAGAAAACTGTATATTATTATATATTCATTATTTTTATATCTACTTTTTATCTTGAGATTTTCCTATACTTTCATAGGAGTTTTCCATGTTATTTGCTATGTAAATTATTTTATTATTTACAAATACATGTTTTTTACTGCTTCCTAACATATAATTTTTTTGAATTTTTTTATTTTTAACTATTATGGATTCATAATAGTTGTACATATTTATAGAGTACATGTGATATTTTGATACAGGCATACAATATGTAATCATCAAACAAGGGTATCTATCACTGCAAGCATTTGTCATTTCTTTGTGTTAAGAACATTCCAATTCCACTCTTTTGGTTATTTTAAAATATACAATAAATTATTGTTAACTATAATTGCCCTCTTGTGCTGCTGAATACTAGATCTTATTCCTTCCAGCTGCACTTTTTGGCCATCCCCACTTTACCCTCCCCAACCCCGCCCTTCCCATCCTCTGGAAACCATCATTCCACTCTCTGTCTCCATGAGATCAATTTATTTTTTTAGCTCCCATATATGTGTGAAAACATGCAATATTTGTCTTTCTGTGCCTGGCTTATTTCACTTAATATAATGTCTTTCACTTCTATCCGAAATATACGATCTTGTAATTCAGTTTCTTGCATTGACTAGAGTTTCCTGAATAATGTTAAATGATAATTGATAATGCATATACTTGTCCCATTCTTGACTTTAATAAGATTGCTTTTAATGTTTTCTCATTAAGCATGATGTTGGCTTTGGAGTTGAGTTAGTTTTATTTGAACATGTAGGTATCTAAATAGTCACTATTCCGATTTTATTATTAACGTAAGTTTTCAAAACCCAAAATGAATATTTAATATAATCAAATGACTTTTTAGCACCCATGGAAAGAATCACATAACCTCTGTTTACATCTATTAACATCATAAAACATATTAATAAATGTCCTAATTTTGAACTAACCTTACATTCCTAGACCAAATCTTAAATATTTATGGTGAATTAATTTGGTAATATATTGCTGAAATAAATTTGTTAATATTTTATTTATGATTTTATATCAGCATTTGAAGTGACAAGCTGTATTTTTCCTTTCTTTTGAGATTGTTTTGCACGGTTGCTAAAAATTTGTAAGCTTTCTTCTTTTATATTCTTGAATAGTTTGATTACCATCACAAACATCCCTATGACATTTTCTGGATGTACTTTTTATTGGTGGCAATTGGAGGATAGCTCTTTCTCCACTTTTTCTATGGTAGTCAGTCAGTTTAGATTTTTAATTGTTCTAGAATAATTTTAATAAATTATGTCTTCATAGAAATCTATTTCATCACTTAAGAGTTCAGAAAAATACAATTTCAAATTTTTTATTGATATTTAGTAGTTGTACATATTTTGGGGGTACTTTCGATATTTCGATGTATGTATACAATGTGTAATGATAAAATCAGGGTAATTGGGATATCCATCGCCTCAAATATTTATGTCATCTTTGTATTGGGAACATTCCAGTTCTTCTCTGCTACCTATTTCGAAATATACAATAAACTACTGTTTTTTTTTATTTCAGCATATTACGGGGGTACAGATGATTAGGTTATATATGATGCCCTTGCACTCCCTCCCCCCCAAGTCCGAGCTTCAAGTGTGTCCATTCCCAGAGAGGCGCACATTGCACTCACTGTTTGTGCATATGCCGGTTCCCTCCTCCCCCCTTTCCCCTCCCCCTGCCCAACATCCAATAAATGATATTCTGAGGGCACGGGTATTTGTATACACAAGGAGTGCAATGCGCACTACCCGAAGGATGGACATATTTGAAACACAGACTTCGGTGGGGGGGGGAACCAAGGGCAACACACGTAACCTAAACATATGTACACCCATAATTTGCTGAAA